TCAAGAATTATTGAGACTGTTATGAACAAGATTCATTAGACAGAATTTTCTGGAATTGACATTGAATCATTGACTGGACAAATGACAATATTTTTTGTGATTCAATTTAATTCTTTTAGGAGTTGCGCAATCTAGAGTCTTCAAAATAAACGGGTTATTTGTATCTCTCTTTGTTTTGTTTTTGCCAAGGGCAAAAGAAATACAACATTAATTGAATGAGAGAAAAAAAGACAAGGAGAGAGAAGAGAGAAAGAGAGATGCTTATGTATTATACAATTGGAAACTCAACAGTTAAAAAATGAATGGGAATTACCAATAGTAGATTTGTTAAGATGAGTCTTAATTTTGTCCCTTGTAAAGAATTTGCATTCTCACCTTCTCAGTAAGGGGAATCTATGGTTATTGCTCTATAGGCTGGAATCAGAAGCATCAATTATGTGGTCACCTAAAACCAATAGAATTTTTCCTTCAACAATGTATAGAATTTGGTTCTTTAATTCTATTATTAATATTTCAATACAAATATATAAAATAGCATGATGTTTCTCCGAGATAAACCATAAAAAAGTGCATATGGATAAATTCATACACTAAGAATTTTTAATGCCTTAATAATCTAATTTCAATAGAAAAGATTTCAGTTTACTAATTTCTGAGTTGGGGGAATTTATTCGAAAATGCCAAGGTTGACATTGATTTAAGGGCCCAGGGATATCAACTGAATGGGTTAAGGTTATGCAAACTAAATGAAGTCATTATATTCTGAACTGATAAAAATGACTGTGTTTTGCACTGAACTCCCACATCTCTCTTTTTCACAGTCACTGAAGTATAATGCAAGTACCTGTTTGTTCCCATTGGTTTCCATGGGTACCTGAAGAAATAAAGACAGATTGACAGATTTCCAATTTCTTTCTTTTCCTCCCCCAGCCCTCCCTCAGTTCCCATCCATCTCTCTTTTCTTTCCTTGTTTTTTTTCTTCTTAAAGATAATAGAAAGGTTTTTTTCCTGGTTTTTGTTGTTGTTGTTGTTGTTGTTGTTGCATCAAACATCTCTTCATTTTGGGAAAATACAAACGATAAAAGAAAGAGACTAGTATTTGATGTGTTCAACAGTTGAAATTAGTAATGGACACAAACCAGTCAGCCTGCCTTCCTTCCTTCCTTCCTTCCTTCCTTCCTTCCTTCCTTCCTTCCTTCCTTCCTTCCTTCCTTCCTTTCTTCCTTTCTTCCTTCCTTCCTTTCCTCCTTGCTTCCCTCCCTTCCTTCTTTTCTTCCTCCTTCTTTCTTTCCTCTGGTTCACCTGCTTCCCTCTCACTCTCAACCTGCCCCCCTTTTTTTTACATACCTATGACTTATTAGAGAATAAATAAATGATTTTCTCATAATTAATTTGGAGCCATGGCACAGCGGGTAGGGCATTTGCCTTGCACGTGGCCATCAGGGCCAACGCAAGTTCGATTCCTCCACCCCTCTTGGAGAGCCTGGCTAGCTACCGAGAGTATCTTGCCCGCACGGCAAAGCCTGGCAAGCTACCCGTGACGTATTCGATATGCCAAACACAGTAACAAGTCTCACAATGTTACTGGGCCCGCTCGAGCAAATCGATGAACAATGGGAGGACAGTGACAGTTTCTCCTCTATGCTATTTCAACTAGTTGACATAACCTTATAGGTCCTAGTTGCTTTCATAGTGTCCTAATATCCGTCTAAGAAGTTTAGTATGAGAAGGTTCAGCTATTGTAGTGGTTTTATACAAAATCCCTCAATAAATCAATATTCTTATTAAAATAGATCTTAGTATTCACTGTTGAGCAGTATCACATACTGTATATTTCTTAACCACAGACAACAAATTTTAGGGACATAGTAAATATTTTTGGATTCTTAAAATTCAATATGCTGTAATGCTGTGCTTAGAACTGAAGTTTGCTTAAAATGAACTGACTAGAGGGAAATAAACACCAGTTGTTGACTCCATAAGAATTAGAATTTAAATATTAGCTCCTAAGTGACTAATATCTTAGTCTATTCAAAAATAATTCTATATTATTGTTTCATAAAAATTAGGAAAATATTAAAGAAACAGCAGATAAAAATCTGATTTTTCTCTAAGCCACCAGATGGAGATGTTGGAGAAAATATTGTTCTTTGGTAAAACTGTTGCGCACAATGAATACCTTTTGAGACACTATCAACAAATTTTAGAGAAATTGAAATATCTATGTATATATATACATATATGCACTGCCTGTGTCTTTGATGACTTAATATGCTGCTAGAAAAGGATATCTGATTCCTTTTAAAAGGTGTGCATTCAGTTTTATTTTGAATTTTATTAAATATTACTTAAAATTGCTTCATAAAGGCTCTCATACACGGCATTGATTTTAAATGCCCTTCTAAGCACTGCATTCTAAAACCATGCTTTTCATATTTAACTCAATTTTCCGGATTTAATTTTTAAGATATGTTTCTTACATTGAAATTTTGTCATGAATTATTGAAATTGTGTATTTGTGTTTGTCAAATTAGTTCATGTTTATTAAACTTTATTATGCTTTGCTTGACTACAATTCTGTGTAGGTTATATATATATATGTATAGATGTATGTCTATATTTGTGAGGGTTTAATTATAGATTTTAAGTAATTATATAATTTTTTCATTATAATGTTTTGCCATTTTCATGGAAATTACTAAAACCGGAGTTACCAATTTTAATGTATGCAAGCATTTCATAAAATAAGAATCACCTTGGTTGTTATTAAGAAATGATGGAATTGCCAGCACGAAGCAAGCTATCAATACATAAGCTAGAACTTTGTACCTTTAACCTGGTGGTCTATACATTGAGCTCTCTTCAATTGGAGATTACAAAGGAAGAAATAGTTCCTTGTGTGTAAGAATAATTGACTCATCATTGAATACTGTGTAGTCTAATTTTCAATTTTATTTATCACAAAATATTTTCAATAGAACGACACATTGACCATATTAAGCTGTATATTAAAAAGTGACATTGGTAAAAATATTCTACTTTAGGAAAAGAGAAATGAAGTATTTAAATAAAAAAAATAGTATTTGAAACTATGGGAACTTGGCATTACTAAAAATGCTAAGTTAAAATTTAGACTTGTGTGATTCATTTTGGAGGAGTAGCTAACTTTAAGCCTCAAGTTAGATAGGTGTGGAGTGTTTTACTTTCATCTCAAATCTTTAAAACCGGGTTCGATTCTCCGACATCCTTTATGGTCACCCAAGCTCGGCCAGGAGTAATTTCTTAGTGCAGTGTCAGGAGTAAACCCTGATTATCTCCAGTTGTAGTACCCCTCTCGCCCCCCCAAAAAAAACCCCAAAACAAAAACAAAATTCCCCTAAACCAAACCAAATTCCAAAAACCCATAGATTGTTTGCACTGAGACTTTATACCAGTGGAATGCTGATTCATGGCCACCTCTCAGATTGTTACATAAGCTGTTTCCATAGCATTTTACAACTTTCAAACCTCCAGAAGCTTCCCCAAATTCAAAGGAAGTCTATGAATAAAGGAGTCCTTCCTTTCTCAATTATTCCTCATGTGTTGACATATAATTGAGTTTTCAAAGACAATTCCTTTTTTCCTCTCTTCCTGATCCTCCTCCTATTTAAAAAGTCAATAGGAGTTGCTTATCTGAAGCAAATGCTATTGCAAGAGATAAAATTTAAATTGAAATAGAGAATGGTCTCTATCTCTTTAAGGAGCAGAAGATACATTACAGAGAGCCAAACTCCAGTACAACATTTACACATTTTTTGAGATGTTAATGGATACTGGGTAAATTATAATTCATCCCCCCACCCAGAAGATTTCCATAATCTTATTATTATAATAGCTCTTTTATTATGGCAACTTTCTATTAAAATTTTTCAGGTTTTCTTTAATGATCTGAATAGCTGCAAAATGTCTTACATTATTATGCCTCTTCAGTACAATTAGGAAATTAGTTGTTGAATTTATTGTTAGAACTTTTAAAACACCTGATACCAAAATGTTATGTACCAAGTAGAGTTTACTCATTTGAAAATTAATACTAAATGCAGTTTTTACAGTGGTGTTGGAGACCTGTTGTTTTCCAATATTCAACATAAATTTGGTCATTTTTATTGCCATAATTTATAGCAACTAACTTAAAAATGAATTAGAAAAGGAGAATGTGGACACCTTCTTGCTACCCTCCTTTTTTGCTTCTTGGGTCAGTCCTCATTCTGCACTCAGGAATTACTCCTTGCAGTGCTCAGGGAACCATATGGGATGCTGGGATTAGAACCTGGGTGGGCTGCATGCAAAGCAAATACCCTAACCACTGTGCTATTGCTCCAGCCCCATCTGTGCTTCTTGAAGGTAGCATTGTACCTTTGTTGTACTCATGTCCTACATAAATTCTTGACTAGTTTTCAGTGCTTTTATTAAACAATCCAATGCTTTTATGAAATCACCCAGTATGACAGCAAAATTTTATTGTCACAAAACCATATTTAAGTCAGATTTTAGCTTTTGCTCTATATTTGATTTTCAGAAGAAACAATTTACTTGTTATCTGCTTCAAATTGTACTAGAATAGAGATATATTCATTCTGTCATCAAGGTGTGTTCAAAGTTATTATCTATCTCTAAAGCTACATTGAGATGTTAATATGAGTTGCTGAAGATATGTAGAACAGACATTTTAAAGAGAATTTATTAGTGCTAATTATAAGAACAAGCAAAAGCCATATTGCAAGTGGTTAGAATATACAATTCTACTCTAAGCTCATGAAAGTAATAGACGTTTTTAACTTCAATTCTAGTTTTGACTTTTAGTCACATGTCGTGATTGAACATATTCCTTAAATGACCACAGAATTGTCAAATTTTACCCTTTTTGCCACCAGAATATTAAGATGTGGATTTACTTTATTATTTAATAAAATCTAGTTGTTACTTTTTAATTTTTAAAATATATTTAGACATTCAGCGCGCGCCCAACGTGGGGCTTGATCCAAAACCCTGAGATTAAGAGTCTCATGCTCTACCAACTAAGCTAGCCAGGCAGGCTGGAGCAAAAGCACAGAGGTAGGGCATTTGCCTTGCATGTGGCAGGCGTGGTCAAGCTGGGTTCGATTTCGCCGTCCCTCTTAGAGAGCCCAAGCTACCGAGAGTATCTCGCTCGCACGGCAAAGCCTGACAAGCTACCTGTGAAGTATTCGATATGATAAACCCAGTAAGAACAAGTCTCATGATGGAGACGTTACTGGGCCCACTTGAGCAAATTGATGAACAACGGGAGGACAGTGCACAGTGCAAATATATTTAAACTTTTATTGAATTAAAGAGCTGTGATTTTTCAAAGTTAATGAAAGTTGAGTTTTAGGCATTCACTGTTCCAATACCAATCCCACCATAAGTGTCAACTTCCCTCCATCAGTAGCACTGTAAACTGTTCTCCCATTGTTCATCAATTTGCTCCAGTGGGCCTAGTAATGTCTCCATCATGAGACTTGCTGTTACTGTGTTTGGCATATTGAATACGTCACGGGTAGCTTGCCAGGCTTTGCCATGCAGGCGAGATACTCTCCATAGCTTGCTGGGATCTCCGAGAGGGAAGGAGGAATTGAACCCGGCTGGGCCAGGTCAGCCATGTGCACGGCAAATGCCCTATGTGCTGTGTTATGGCTCCAGCCCCCTCCATCAGTATTTTGGCAAAATTTTTAAATAGTTCCGAATTGTAGAATACACTAATTACTTTTAGACATTATCCGTTCATGAGAAAATTCAGAAATTTATGGACACATTTTGTTGTAGTGGACGAATAATAATAATAATTTTAGTGAAACTTTTTTATATTCATGCCTTTTTTTCTGTCTTATTTTGTGCTGGCCATCTTTAGGGCTTGTTTTCCAGTAATTTCTTTTGAGCAGTTTTTAAAATATTAGTAATTTTTTCAGCAAAAACAAAATAAGTCATTCTATTTTTATTTTTATACATTAATAAACATGCCAACAACAAAAAACCAAAATGTCTACTTTTAGTGGGTAGCATAAAAATTTAGAGTTTTGACATTGTATCTGTCACCAGCAAAATGGAACATGTAGGTTTGGGAGATAAAGTCACTGATTATAGAAAGGAAATTTGTAATTTTAGTATTTCAACTTGTATAAACTTAAAATATATAAATTTAGAAGGTTTAAATTGTATTTACATTCTAGATTTTATTAAATTTAATATCATTTCACATCTCCTAAACAAATAACATACACATTCTCTTTAGAGCTTTGCTATGGAAACTATTCTTTAGAATATTAATTTGTAGTTTTTATAGTTTCCTTCTGGGTATGTTATTTTTTGTTTCTCTATTTTGTTTTCTTGATTTTCCAGTATTTAAAATATGAGCACAGATTGCTTTAAATTAAGAAATGTCTACATTTGATTAGGGTTTCAAATTTCTCTGGATGTATTAATTTTCATGTATAATTAATTTCAAATTATAAATATTACAATATTAATTTATCTTATGATTCTTTGTTACTTCCTCTGATAGAATTTCATCAAACCCCAAGGTGCCCTTCCTTTAAGATGTTATAGTATAATCTTTCTAAATACCCAAACCTGCCAATGGGATTGATGTAAATATTTTTCTATAAATTGTTCGTAATAAATTGGGCTAGAGTGATAGCACAGTGGGTAGGGCATTTGCCTTGCATGCGGCTGACTTAGGTTCGATTCCTCCACTCCTTTCGGAGAGCCAGGCAAGCTACCGAGAGTATCCCACCCGCACGGCAGAGCCTGGCAAGCTCCCTGTGGTGTATTCAATATGCCCAAAACAGTAACAACAAGTCTCACAATGGAGACAGTCCTGGTGTCCACTCAAGCAAAATCGATGTACTGGGAGGACAGTGCTAGAGTGCAGTAAATTTTAGTGAGGTGTTGCTGTATTCTTCATCTCTTAAATAGAATATGGCTTTGATTGTTTATCAGAGCATAATTTTTGTCTTTCAGAACATCTTAATATATTGCTTTCTCTTCTGTAAAATGAGGATTGGCTTACATTTCTCATAGTAAACTTTACAGATTTACACAATAGTAGTTGCTCATTCTGATATAGTGATTTATGTTGCTAATTTCAGAGATTCAAATTCCCCTGAGAACTTTTTAGGCAAATATACTTAGCTCCATACTTATAGATGTACAGTAGAGAAGTAAGCTAACAGGAACTAACAACGTTTCTTATGTAATTTTCCAATTAATATGCTGATTTGATACAATGATTTAAACTAATACTAGAGACACAGGTTTTAATTTATTATCTCTTGGAAAGCTGATGAAATAAGTGTTTTCCAAAAATTTTTAAAATGGGATTAGTATTTTGTTTCATCTGCAAACACCAAAAAAGGAAGACATTACTGAAAATTCTGTAAATGTTAAATGCAGATTTGCTGGACTTTGTGTGAATACTGATATTGTTCACTTACTCTTTCCACCATCGATATATTAGAGCAAACAAGATGATGGTAGATGTGCTGCATGATTTGGTGACATTAAACACAGAAGTTTCATAGTGCTGTTTCCCCTGGGAATCAGCTGTCTAAATATTATTACTAATTAGTGCCTTGACTTTCTTTTCAGAAAGAACAGGAGACTTTGGAAAGGCCTCATTCTGTTTTATTAAGAAAGTCTCTTGAAAGATTGAAAAATTCAAAAGAATTACTTTGTCAGAAATTCCTTCCATTAAAGAATGGAGGAATTGTTCCTGGGGGACTATTATCATTGTTAATGAGTAAAAATAAAGAAGTTATAGAATAAGCTATCTTTTTTTTTTAACCTCTGGCTTTTCTAATTCTTATGCTGCTACATTTTGTAGTTGAAAACAGCATGTGGATTATTTTATACCATGTAGTATAACTTGGGCAAACATTTTTTTATTTTGCTTTTGGGGCTGGCACGATAGTACAGTGGGTAGGGCATTTGCCTTGCATGCGGCCAACCCGGCCAAACCGGGTTCAATTCCTCCACCCCTCTCGGAGAGCCCGGCAAGCTACTGAGAGTATCTCGCCCACATGGCAAAGTCTGGCAAGCTACCCGTGATGTATTTGATCTGCCAAACACAATAACAACAGGTCTCACAATGGAGACGTTACTGGGCCCACTTGAGCAAATCGATGAACAATGGGAGGACAGTGCTACAGTGCTATAGTGCTTTTGGGGTCACACCCAGCGATGCTCAGGGGTCACTCCTGACTCTGTGCTCAGGAATTACTCTTGGCAGTGCTCGGGGGACTATATGGGATGCAGGGGATTGAACCCGGGTCGGCCTCATGCAAGGCAAACGCCCTACCTGCTATTCTATCATTCCAGCCCCTGGGAGCATACATTCTTGCTCTTTTTAAAGGAAGCCAGTATATTCCCAAAGTCAAGTTGTATTAATACAAATACTATATTAATATTAATATGTTAATATTAATATAAAGATATTTGAGCTAGGCATGGGACACATTGGATAAATCTCACATGCTTACCTTCCAAATGCTTATCCCTGGTACTGTCATTTAAAACTGCTGCAAGGGGGAATTTAATAAATATTGGTCTTTTCCTCCTAAATTGGGCTGGAGCGGTAGCACAGTGGTAGGGCGTTTGCCTTGCATGCAGCCGGCCTGGCCGAGCAGGGTTCTATTCCTCCACCCCTCTTGGAGAGCCTGGCAAGCTACCGAGAATATCTTGCCTACACGGCAAAGCCTGGCAAGCTCCCTGTGATGTATTCGACATGCCAAATGCAGTAACAAGTCTCAAAATGGAGATGTTACTGGGCCCGCTTGAGCAAATTGATGAACAATGGGAGGACAGTGCTGCCTGTTGTCCTCCTAGGTCACCTTTCAGTAAATCATTTGTGTTTCTTGATGGATACTATACATGCACATAGAATATGTATAACATACACAATTTTTTACTGCTTTGAATGGTCCTATTTAAATTAGAACTTCTCCCCTCCCCCCCAAAAGTTTCATTGAAATTTATTTAGGAAGATATGATGGGAGAGAAAGGGAGAAGTACACATTTGATACAGAACAAAGGTTTCTCCAAATTGCAAATAAGCAAACAAAGAAACACAGAGACAAGCAAGCCAGGTCCCTGTTCAGGGATTTTGCTAAATATTAGTTCAGGAAAGAAGCCTCAATTACAACTCATCTCCTCTTTCTTGTAGCTCTGTGCAATACTTTTGGGTTTAGCTTACTTTGTTGAGCATTTGTTTCCCTCTTTTTAAAGGTAAAGGTAAAGGCCCTCCCGTTGATCGTCGATTTGCTCGAGCGGGCCCAGTAACGTCTCCATTGGAGACTTTGTTGTTACTGTGTCTGGCATATCGAATACTCTCGGTAGCTTGCCGGGCTCTCCGAGTGGGGTGGAGGAATCAAACTCGGGTCGGCCATGTTGGCCGCTTATAAGGCGAACGCCCTACCCGCTGTGCTGTTTTTAAAAGTGTGTAAAAATAGGTTTGGACAACATGGATTGTTGTACAATACATTGTGAAATAATCATTGTGAGTGTAATAATCAAGCCAAAAGTCTTTTGCATTAAAAAGCTTGGCAGCATTTGGGGCTGGAGTGGCTGACAGTGGGTAGAGTGTCTGCCCCATTGAACTCTGCCAACCCTACATCTCGTCCCCAGCACCACATTTGGTCCCCCTGAGTCCCTCCAGGAGTGATTCCTGAGTGCAGAGGCAGGAATTAGCTCTGAGCATCACCAGTTGGGCTCCCCTAAAAAACAAAAATGCAAGGGTTGGGAAGATAAGACAGGGAGCTGTGTCTTGAAGCGGGCTTAAACCAGTTTGATCCAGGAGCACTTGTGCCACTGAGTATTGCAGGGCTAGTTCCGGAGGGTTTGGTGAGCACAATTGGGATGGCCCAGATCCCGCCCTCATGACCCCACCCTCTCCTGCTAGCATCACTGCATTTTTGAGCTTTCAATCAACCACTGTTTAGTTTGCTGGCTTTGCTCATGGGTTTCCAGAGTCGTACTTAAAAGGCCACTCAAATACAGTAAATCACTGCTACATATTAGA